GAAATGCTGACTGGGGATTCCTACCAACGCTCTTGAGAAGCTCTGAATGGGATCAGTACTTAACCAATAATAACTTAGAAGTGACACTTAACAAGACAATCATTTCGGTAAGAGACACAATCGCAACCCTAAAATCTGCCCTAAAGACACGAGCTCTATTCATAGACCGCAAAACACAATTAAAACTAAGGAAACTGAAAAGGAAATTTTATTTATATAAAAAATCTAGTGCATTACACCAGATATATGAAACATTTACAAATATTGAAGAGAGACATAAAATGAAGGCACAACTCGAGGAAAATAAAGCCCTAGGGGGCACCTCTATAACTCAGGAACTCTGAAAGATCTTGCAAAAACGACTGGAAGGAAACAACAAAGTTAACCACTTGGAACATGAAGGTATAATTTATGAACCCCAGACTATTAGTGTACTCCTTAGCCAGTGGTTCTCCAATGACACCAAAGCGCATCTGTCCCCAATTCCGGACACAACCTGCAAAAATAACTACAATTTAGGTGAAATCAACTTTAATATACAAAATATACCATCAGCGGTAAAGACATTAAAAGCTAACGGTAGTAGTTGGACAGATGACATACCATCTGTAGAACGGTGGCACGGATATGATAGTATTATTACTTAGAATATTTGCCCTCTCACTAGTGACTGGCACTAATACTGAAATTTAGAAAAACACGTATATACTACCTAAGCATAAAGGAGGGCCCAAAACTAGTGCATATAATTATAGGCCTATCAATATAACACCTGTCATATAACGGATCATGGAGAAAGTAATCTAAGACCAAATGTCAGACTACTTTCTAAAACATAAACTCATCAACCAGTCACAACACGGATTCCTCAAGAAAAGATCTTGCGTCAGTTGCCATATAGACTTTCTCAACGAAGTCACATGCATAAGAGATAGGAAAGAATTAGTGATTATCGTCTATTTCGATATAAGGAAAGCCTTCGACAGAGTCCCACATAGTCTGCTAGTAAGCAGGTTATGGTGATCCCCTCCACAACTGGATAAAATCATTTCTCTGTGATAGAAATTAGATAAGGATTGGCTCGATGACCTCTAGGCCAAGACCAATCAGAAGTGGTGTCATCCTGAAGAGTGTATTGGGCCCTCTCCTTTCCATAATATACGTAAACAGTATAAGTGAATGTTTTAGCACAGATGAACCAATACTATATGCAGGTGACTTGCGGGTGACCTATACATTCACAAATACAGGTATCGGTACAACCATGAATTCCATACATGAAGAATTAATAAAAATGGATAGATGGTGTGACACCTGGAGACTCGAGTTTAATGTTGAAAAGTGTGGCTGGCTGGGTCTGCATAAGCTGCTCCAACCTTGAACTCGACCTAGCAATTCAGGGCCACAAAATCCCCAAACTCAAATCTGTACTAGACCTAGGACTGAAATATTCACACAATCTATCATTTTCAGAGCACATCTCGAAACAAGTATCGAAATCACACAGGCTTATTGGTTTCCTACTCAGGAACTTCTACTTCTGTATTTCCTGATGTGTTGCACTCACTGACAATCTAGCAGATTTTTCCAACTATGCACAGAAATGATTGTACATAAGTGAAAAGGATGTTTTATACTATTGGGATTAACATTTATCAAGTGTATGTATAATCTCCAGCGTACATGTAAAACATATTTTACTATCGACTGTAAAATGTGACTGAATAATATGGTTCTATTTCTGCAACAATTTGATGATGCCTGTAAACTGGCGTTCTTCATGTACTGTACCATGAGAATAAATTTATTTATTTATTTAAAAGTGAATTCAGAATACCACTGTACAAGGTTTGTGTGCGCCCACTCCTAGATTACTGCGCATTCATCTTTATTAGCATACACATAGAAGACAAACTGAAAGTAGGAGAAGTACAGAGGTACTTCAACCTAAAAGTACTCGGAGCCGAAAACGGCAAAAACTGCTCCTCCAGATGTGAAATCCTAAAACTCGAAACACCATGGTTAAGACGACGGCGACTAAACTTGGTACTCTTCTATAAGCTTCTTAACCACGTAGTTTATAAGCCTACTTATGGTACTCGGTTTTCAGAGGTCATTGGATATAACCTGAGGCACACTAAAATTACAGTGTCTATACAACAATGTAAAACAGCCACCTGGCGAAAGTTTTTCTTGATTAGGTATGCCCAAATATGGATCAAACTGCATAAGGAAATGCAACTAGCAAGCACATTGGCCTCTTTTGAAAAGGGATTTAATGACACACTAAGTGAGTTTGCAAGCGATACCAGTGCCAATTCCAATGTAAGGGCTACAGAAATCATAGTCCCATTTAACGTATGAACTTAGAGACTACACCTGTTGTTTGTTTTGCTTTTTTTTATAATTTCAGACAAAAAAGTCTCAGTCATGACAAAAACATCCATACGAATAAGTCGATTGAATAATGTCTACATGATACAAAGATTGAACAATAAACGACATACGAATGAAATATGAGAAAACAAGGTCGAAACTTACCACAACATCACATGGAAAGATATGAGTTACTTGGACATTATTTATAATCCACCAACTAGTTTACTTTCCAGAAAGAATGAGATGCTCTACCCACAGTGGCGAGGAATTATATAAATTTACAGTTCCCGTTGTATATAATCAGTGGAGGTAGGAATCAACGAAGTAGTGCATTTAGAGCAAACGTATACTCTCCAAGATCGCGGAATATGTCAAAATCGTAGAGTAATCAAACCTTACACGAGATGTAATTAACTGAATTCGAACGGGAAACAAGTTAACGTACACATCTGGATATTCATCCACATGTTGATCATGACGACAAATCCAAATCACTACCCGTACAGCGCCAATAAACCTGGATATCTATGAAATAACGAAAATAAGCTGAAAGCTGCATTTCAGATCCTACAGACTCATTCGATGGTAATATTCTGCTCCTGCACGATTCATTCAACATTTAAATGTTGTATACAAATTTGTATGGATTGGTTCATGGTCATTCTGGTTCCAGACCGAAAAGAATCTAAAATCTGCCGGTTGCTAAATTATTAATACTTATCTGCATGTTTAACTGGATACTAACTACTGCGGTGAGCCTCTTACAGATTATATTTATTCAGCAATATATTCCTGAAAACATTGTTGTCGGAAAACTAACTAACGTTTTACAAGCCATTTTTATACTTTTAAGAATAGCCCGCCACATTGACTGTAACATGCAAACCGACAGACACACAGGTAATGAAAGCAGCACACGAGCTGTGCAGGAGGGCGTTTATTCCACGACTACATATAACGCAGCATTTAGTTGTTACGCGCTTTTGACAAATTCAAACAAGAATGGTGACTAAGATTATATCATTTAAATTGTTTTGACTTATATAAAGTGTGCTTGCTGTCATTATTCCATTACCTTTCCTTGTATAGATATCCTGTATCGGTGAAATATTGTAAACATGCGCACTCCATATATGCATAGTTATAATCAAAATGCTACAGAAACTTCAACGCACATAAAGCATCAAAAACTAGAAAATTCAAATAGCAGTTTCATTCCTCAGTGGAATCGGAGAGGCGAAATAACGCCGGCTGGTGAAAGTCTTCGGGAAGCCTGTCGGCCAGTTCCTGTATTTTCACTCGATTAAAGAAAGCAAGAATAAGAATAGGGACGTGGAACCTCTATACAATGTGGGAGGCTGGCTGGGAGGCTGTCCAGGTAGCTTACGGAATGCGAAGATATGTCACAGAAGTGCTGGATATCTACGGGAGCAGATGGAATGGATGTGAACTATCAAAATTGTCAATCTAAGTGTAAGTTACCTACTCTGGCCACCCAGACGACAGTCATGAATACGCTGAGGAAGTGCCTTTGTGATGTTACCAGTGGCAGCTAGAACCGTAATGCAGAGAAACCCAATCCCCTGAGTAGGATTGTGGGAGCAACATTCAACTCCACAGGAAGGTCACAAATATCCAACACTACTCACAGTGCAACAAACAACGCAAAACATGGGAAGACGGAAGATTTCTACAGACACCTACAAACAGTTTTGCACAATATCCTGAGTGGCGATATCGAAATCCCCATCATCGATATGAATGCCATGCTAGGAGGAGACAACGCAGGAAGAGAACTCATAATGTGTCAAGGATCTCCCACTAGGAGTATGAATGGTGACAGAGAACTCTTTGTAGACTTCTGTGCATTTAAGGTTTTAATGATGGGAGGCAGTGTGTACACAAGTATATGCACAAAGTAACATGGGCTTCGTCTGAAGGGAGCCACAAACCTGACAGACTTCATCTCATCGCTGCCCACGGAAGTGGAGACACGGTCAGTCTGCTGGACACAAAGTCGAGAAGGGGAGCAAAAGTGGGCTCAGGCCATCTTTTAGTTCAAAGGAACAGCCTTCAAGGTGAGGCTGAAACCTCTCAAAACAAATGGAGACGGGCCACTGTAATTCAAGTTAAATACTCAGAAACTGAAGGGCAAAACTACAGGGATGGGTTCACTACAGATCTGACTAGAGCAAAGTCGGAGACACTGCGTGGGATCGCTGGCGAAACCCGCGTGGAATAACATAGGAACTGACTCTCTCAAAGCAATATTCAAGGAAATGTGTTCAACTGTTCTCGGAAGGAGGAAGAGTCAAAAAAAGGAATGGCTCTCGACGGATACCTGGAAGCTAATTGCTTACAGGAGGATGGTGAAAGAGAAGATGACTCAATGCAAAGATGGTCAACATAAGGTGAACCTGAGTTCAATGCGCACTGCACTGAACAGAAACAGGTGAAGAATAGTGCTAGAAAAGACAAAAGACAATTCTACGACACATTGACCCACAACTGAAGCAGAACAGGTAGAACGCAAATAAAAGAAACCTCAGAACATTATATCAGACAAACAATCCGGTCACTATTCGGGAAGAGGTTAACTCAGAAGATGAAGCCAATAAAAGATGTTAAAGGTAACCTGACTACCAGGGAGGATTAGGGGAAACGAATAAAACAATCAGCTGATCTCTCCAAAGGACTCTTAAATCGACCAACTTCACCTGCGACCCACACAGAAATGCCCTTGACAGCACGCAAAATGGACACAAATTCTCTGACAAAACAGAAATCTGGAATGCGATCAAGCTACTGAACACTAGCCGGAAAGGCGTCAGGATCAGACGAATCCCCCGAAGCACTGAAAACGGCCCCGAAACTCTGGCAGATGAGTTTGCGCCATTATTGCGATGGGTTCGGAAAGGAAGGAAAGGTGCCTACCTATGGATTGGGAAAAAGGCTAGCTACCTTCTGAAGCTGCCAAGGAATTGCGACTTGGGCCTCTGCAAGAACTGGCATGGAATCATGCTCTTCTCCTCGCCAAGTAAAATACTATGTCGCGTCATCCTGCAGAGAATCAATGATGAGCCGGGTTCCGAACGTCTCTAGCATAAGGGAAGCCGAATCCAGGAAGTGCGAAACGTGTGCTCACCGAATTAAAACTCTACGCATCGTCATCACAGGACAAAGCATAGAATGGCAGTCAAACCCCTACCTCGACTTCATCGACTTCCTAAAGGCCTTTGACAGCGTTGACAGAGAAGTAATTCGGAAACTACTCCAACACTGCGGCGTGCCTGAAATCTGTATCGACCTCATTCAACAGTAATATGACGGTGCCATATGTCAGGCGACCCGCAACGTGAAACTCACTGAGACATTCGAAGTGAATGCAGGAGTAAGACAAGCCAGCTGTTTATCATCACCGGTGATATTCTTGATTGTAAAAGACTGGATTGGGGGTGGTGCCGTGGGTAGCTAAGAGACAGTAATACTCTAGACCCACGATAAGAAGACTATAAATGGTCTGGATCTTGCAGGTGATATATGTCTAATGTCATACAAACCCGAAGACTGACGGGAGAAAAGCAACAATTTGGCTGGAAAAGCAGACAGCGAACACAGGACTGCAGGTGAACATAGAGAAGACGGAGGTTATGAAGATAAAAAAACATCACCAACAGCAACAACAGTCGCGCGCCAGTCACCATCAACAAGACAGACTTGAATGAAGATACTTCCTTTATTTATCTAGGAAGCGTCGTCCCAAATACGGGCGGAATGGATAAAGACGTCAAAGCTGGCCGGAATCGGAAAGGGCGAGATACGCCTTCACCAATCTGAATTCAGTCTTGAAACCTCATTAAATCAGCCAGCATGAGGAACAAGATATGGACTCTGTTTAACATATATGTGAAGTCAGTCAGTTCTTCTGCACGGGTCAGACATTTGCGGCGAGTGTCAACAAAAGGATTTCCAACAGGTCAAAGCAGACTCTTATCAACAGCTTCCACCATCACTGGCTCCATACTGAAATTAAGTGGCCAAGTGCCTGAAAAAAATAGTAACAAGAAACTCTGGCTGGCAGCAAACCAACGAGCGAGAGCCGATTGCTGAACTGTAGGTCATTGCTGTAGGTGAATCCTAAATGGAAGCGGCGAGTTGGTCTTCAGTGTGACGGTGACTTAGAGGAGGAGATTAGAGTTTATTGGAATTCTCGGGCGCAGCTGAAGAGGGCTTCGGAAAATAGAAGAAAGTCTAGATATCTTGATGAAGTCCTATATTCCACATGAAACCCGAAGGAGTAATAGTTATTGCCAGTGGACTTCAGTACTTGAATTTCTAAAAGTTTGCAGTTATTCGCATTTCAGCCACTTGCTTCTCTCATGGACCCGGTAAAGTAATTTTTGGAAATGATGTGGTGCTAAAGGTAAGTTTTGGAATAAGCCATGTTTTCTTATACATCGCTTTATGGTTACTTCTGTCGCCTAATGCGGTGACCATGTATATATCATCTTTTTATTCTATATACTGGTACTCATTCGGACACCGATAAATACATTTTCGTCTCAGTGGTGTGTTCTCGCCTAAGTAGTGCCTGCTGGGTAAACCGGTGTCTATCGTTCACATTGATGAAGTAGATCAGTGATAATAGTGATCGCCATATTCGTGTTCAACCCGGTAGCTCTATTTAAAACTCTGTTGTTGCAATATACGAAAGTGGCAACATCGTGGCAGCAATCTAACAAAATCCGAACCAACCTACCCGAAACTAATGCTCATAGACAGCATCACGCGTTAAAATTCTGAGGAGATATGCACAATTTTGGGCGAAAATCTTGCCAGACTACAGAGTTCAGAGGGTAAATCCTTCTCAGATTTCCATGATAAAGAGATGAGTGCCTAAACTGCAGTTATGAACACCTGAGGAACAGATAAACCTTTCATCAGTCTCAAGCCTCTTAATGCCTCATGTCCACAAACTACACCTTTAGTTCTAATAAATATGGTGGGAATGAGATGAATTCACTTCTTCTGATACTTTAATCATCTTCACAAGAGAGTAGACAACACCTCACTTCTTGGAAGAAGTCTTATATAATAATTGTTCACAAACACAGGGAAGCCGTGGAAGGCCTATGATTTTTGAAACCTCGGAAAACGGAAGAATTGGGTGGTATCTCCACTGGGACACCGAAAATGGGTTCGGAAGCCTCAGCGGATGCACCAACTTGCTAAAATGTAAGGTAATAAAAAGGGGGAGGTACTTGTCAGTGTGAAGAAATGTCACACCGTAAATTTGCCAGCGAGCGGTGACTTTGTGTTAGAACTTTTGCTGATACATACTTCCGTCTACGTCAGGAAAATAATAGGCCATATCATGATGGAGACTGTAGGATACTCACTCACAGTGGACTGGGTCATGCGACAGACCTCAGGGGATGAGGAGACAGCCATAGGTTGGACCGGCGAAGGAACCCTGCAGGACCCTGGATATCGTGGATGATTTACAACTTTAGTCCCACGAACTAGGAGATATGTCAGCAAAACCCAAGAAGTTGGTTTGTCAAGATAGGACTTAATTGTGGAAAGGGAGATGGCAGATGCGGTAAAGACACTTGGCCAATATCTAGAGGCACCAATAATCGTTAAAGGCAGGAAGTTGAATGTACGCGTCCTCAACACTTACTTCGACATCGACACTTCAGTTACAAGCGGTAGCGATGAACATGTCAGTGGGACGATCAGCAAGTTGGAAAAATGCACAACACTCTGCAATCAGTGTGGAGACCTACACCAGTCCTTCTGAATGTTTCAGAAACTTATCACATCATTGAAAGCATCTCTCACTTACATGGAAAGGACTGTGTGCTTATGAAATGGAAGTTAATGGGCTACTGCTGAGACAACTGATAGTGATGGCAAAGAACTAAGTGGAATGGGGACTTGTCACTGATATCTTTTGTTCCACTTGGAAGGCGCAGAAAGAATAATGGTGACGATAATAATGGCGGATACTTACTATCTTATAATATTATTATTCCCTTAGGTCCCAATTAGATCATAAGGCTTCAATACCACATATCCACTTCATTGTGTTCTCTGAAATCCTGTATAGCTACTCCACGATTGTCCATAGGCTCTCACCTCCTTCTCACACGGCTTCCTCCATAACACCCTTAGGAGCCAAACCCATTCAAATCCTAATCGAGTAGTGGCCTGGTGCGCGGCGTCACCCAACGGTCTCCACAGAGTTTGTCCCATCCACCTCTATTCGCTTTCAAATATTTGTTGAGCAACAGGTCCTTGGTTGGGTCGTTAGAAGAGTTCCTTTTGACCTATCTTATGTAGCCGTCTAATATTCACTTGAAGTATGACTAAAGTCTACAGCAACTAGTTGGAAGTGATTTTCCTGACCCATCAAATTTCTGATTCATATAGGAGAATTGAGTTAATATTAGTGTCAATCACGTCTCATAAACCGTTAATGCCCAGCTCTCGCTACGCTCGGGCCCACGCTGTTCTTCGAAGATTTCTCAGAAACGCTTAGTTATAACGGACGCAAAAACCAAAACACTGATCTGCCGCTTTAGATTTGTTTATTGTTACACCAACATATAAAAGGAATAAGCGAACTAAGCAAACTAAGGTCTGAAAACAAATATTACAATAATAAATCACGAGATTACGGCAACCAACGAGGGAACAGGCATAAAATGGACTGACACAAAAGACTTGGAGGATCTGGATTTCGCCGATGATATATGTCTGATTTCCCATAAACTGGAAGATATGCAAGTGAAAAGTAACAAGTTGGCAGAAGAAGCATCAAAGATAGGACTTCACGTGAACATAGAAAAAACAGAGGTGATGAAGATTCCTAGCCAACATCAACAACACCAACAGACCACAATAAGCATAAATGGGAAGAACCTGAAAGAAACAACCTCCTTCACCTACATGGGAAGCATCGTCTCAACTACAGGCGGAACTGACGAGGACATCAAAGCCAGAATCGGAAAAGCAAGACAAGCTTTCATTACTCTCAAATCTGTGTGGAGGTCAACAGCACTCAGCATCAAAAATAAGATCCGGATTTTCAACTCCAATGTGAAGTCAGTGCTACTATATGGATCAGAGACTTGCACTGCGCGTCATAAAGAGCATCTCAAACAAACTCCAAACCTTCATTAACAACTGTCTCCGCTCAATACTCAAGATCAGATGGCCAGAAAAGATCAGCAACAGGGATCTCTGGGAGCGAACCAATCAGGAACCGATTGTGAAACAAATAGGCAGAAAGAAATGGAGATGGATTGGCCATACTCTGAGGAAACCATCAAGTGACATCACTAGACAAGCCACCGCTCGAGCGGAACCCGAAAGGGAGGCGGCGAGTTGGTCGTCCAAGGGTGACATGGAGGAGGTCATGCGAGGAGGAGATGAAAGCATGTGGACAGACGTGGAGAAGGGTGAAAAAGTTGTCAGAAAACCGAAGGCAGTGGAGGTGCGCAGCTGAAGCCCTATGTTCCTCTAGGAACTAAAGGATACAATAATAATAATAATAATAGATGTGATATGTTGACTATCTGTATGTTCATACTTCGCAAATTTTTGGTACTTTTATGAGAAGTAGATTTGGTATACAGCTTCATACCATTGCTTTATATCATTCACATTATTTCATTTTCTTTATTCCTTTACGTTCCGACTGAAACATAAAGCTTCAAACTAGAACTTTGAAGTTACGGTAACAGAAGTTTTATATTTATATGGGGTGGGGTTGCTATCCTCACGCTTAACCTTCCTTTACTACCGGCTAAGTGAGGTTTAGGAGTGCGCCAGCCGGGAGATCGAATTCCGGACCACGTGCATGGTTGGCGAGCATCCTACCGCTGAACCACCATATTTCACATCATTTACATGCTACTTGAAAATTGGCGTTGTTCACACACACACACACACTCTCTCTCTGATTCCTCCGTAGATTAGTGTGATACTTTGAGTGTGTGTTTTTGATTTTCCATTTTCATGGTTGAAACAAGTGTGTATATGAGGCCAAAAATTATTTTTGGAATGTGAGTCTAAAGTGTGTGTATGTGTGAAGTTTCTCTTTTCTCAAAAACTTAATTTTCCCTCTGAAATTTCAGGTTAAAGATTACAAGCATTTAAGGCTAGAAGATTTAACATCTAAACCAGAGTCAAGTGACGATGATGATCATTCTGATGGAGGTTATTCGGATTATATTAACGATGGACTATCTGATGAAGGCTGGTCCGAGGATGGCGCTAATAAAAGTAAGTTTATATATACCTATACATATATACATGTGGTGCGTCGGTGGTGAAAAGGTAAAATGTTCACCAGCCACTCACGTGGTTCGGGGTTCAGTCCCTGACTGACTCACTCCCAAACCTCGCTAAAATGGTAGTAAGACATGTAAAGAAGGGAGGTTGGGCATGAGGCTAGCAACCCCACCCAGTAAAAAGAAACACTACTGCTACAGAAACTTCAAAGCTCTAGCTTGAAGGCGCCTTGTGTTCCCCTAGCAGCGCGATGGAACTGAGAAAAATTCCGTGCTTTCATTCCCTTTTATGGATTCAGTCATATTTTTGTGAATGTATTATAACAATGCATATGTTGTGAGCTAGATCAATAAGGCTTTTAGGGCTTACCTGTGATTGAAACCCTGACACCATACTTGTATGCTATTCTGTGATCTAGCTAAAGTATCGTTATGTATGAGCTGACAATAAAGTAGCGATTTTTATTTAGTTTGCATTTCATGTAAAATGGTTGACGAGTCTCATTATGTGAATGACGCCTAATATATCCGAAATTAAATACCTTTGCTATGGTACTGTAAATATTTTCATAACTCTAAAGTAGATTCACATGTATGTCCAAACCAAGTTCACTTTTAACGGTTTGAAAAAATTTGGGCATTGGGTATATGATATTCATAATAATAAAGTTTTTTGTATTTCCCAATGAATGAAAAACAAAACGATGTTGTTTTTACTGACGTTTCGCCATTTAATGCTAGTAGCTTTCTCAAAGTATTATTAAACCGGAATTTACAAAATCTCAGCATATATACATATATATATTCCGGTTTAATAATACTTTGAGAAAGCTATTAGAATTAAATAGCGAAACCTCAGTAAAAACAATATCGTTTTGTTTTTCATTCATTGGGAAATACAAAAAACTTTATTATTATAGATTCATGTGTGTTTGTGCTTCTGGGCAAGAGTAAAGAATAGTTACCACCGCCGTATGACTTTGAGCTAACCCACCAAATCTCCGGACACTCACGACACAAGGATGCTTCTCATAGTCTTCATTGCAAGTTCCGCCCTGTTTTAGAGTTTGGGCTAGGGGGTTACGCTTTGGGTTAGGGTTAGATAGTAAGATTACTGCTGAGGTTAGACTGAAACTTGCAGCGAGGATTACGAACAACTACCATTTGAAATGCTGAGCAATATTGACTATCATCACTAGGTTGATATTCATTATAAAGTCAATCATTTATCATGACTAGTAAATCCTGTGGCTGGTACTCATACAAATTCTATCGAAGGATGTTGGGCATATTAAAGACACAGATTAATCTAATTAGGATGGTATATGTCTATAACCATATGTGCGTCGGTGGCACAGTGGTTAGGACTCTCGCCGATCATGCACATGGTCCGGGGTTCGAGCCCACGCCGACGCACACTTGATATCTATGGTCGGCCTGCGAACTTTGGCTACCGATATCCACGCTGAAAATTCCACACTTGTACCAAAAATACGGTGTGGAATCAAGCTGTAATCAAAATAAATAAAAATAAATAAATATTCAAAACTGGGACTCCTTTCTGTAGCATATTAGAGGCATATACCCTGTATAATTCATATATATATATATGTATATAGCCACTTTTGACGCAGAAGCACATGGTTAGTTGGTTGAAGGCCCCATAAAACCACCTAGTTACTGCCTCGACGGTAGGTGAACTTCAACTTCCTCGAAGTACTCTCAAGTGGTCACGCGTTCAAAGCCTCTGACAGGTAAGCACTATTCACTGCCTTCACGCAGTCGAGGTAGAGAGTTCTTCATAGAAGTGGAAGGGTGGGTGAGAACGCTTAGGACTTAAAATCGAACTGGTTGACATGCTGGTCTACCAAGGGAAGCTAGGAAACCCTATGGCCCAAATGGTGTCTATTCTTTACTGCTGCTGTAGTTTGATTTCCTTTAGTTACTGTCATAGAAAGACAATATGTATAGGACATCAAGAGAGAAGGGTAAAGAGAAAGAATAAAATTTTAACTGTTTTACTTGATATTTGTAGGCGGAGAAGAAACTATTTCCTTTTGACAGTTGGCTTTCCCTTAATCATTATTTTGAACCCATTTAGATGTCTTATCTTCAATGAAATTTCATGTCGGAAATCTGGAGGTTTGTCGAGAGACTTTAATCTGCAGCATATCTTTTCTGCTGGCTAAAACAAACTAAGTTCCTGAGGTTGTATTCAACGTCTACAACGATGTTGCGACAGTGACTACACTTTGACTACTCATCATTACTGTAATTTAACAGTAGACATTGTGTCTAACAAAAAAATAAAACAGATTTTGCATACATAGCGCGGTGTCTACAGTGTCTGTAAATGCATTACTGAATTTCTCCTTGTTTTATTTTGATATGTTATGGCCTAAATGTCTAACACTTTCACAAATCTTTTTATCATCTTCTGAATTTTAGGTCTACGTTGGCCTTGTCCTCTGTGCACCAAAGTGTTTACTTCTCGCGCTGGAGTCGCTCGACATCGAAGTATTGCCCACGGTCCTAATCGTGGTCGACCCAGAGGTCGTTGGGCTAATCCGTACATGGCGAGTGTTCGGCGTAGAGCTAAACTGAAAGAAGTAAGTGTGCATCATGTGATGATACAAATGTGACTGATTTGTAGCTCATAGTATAAGTTAAGCAAAGTGCATATTTTTTCGTGATGATTCGTGGCTCTGACGTAGTGTCTTTCGAGAGGTGAATTGGCAACTACTTCGGTACTACGGGGTGCCACAGACAATTATACATCTCATCCAACAGCTGTACGACAATGCTGCATGTCAAGTAATCCACAACAGGAAACTTACGGAATTCTTCGAAGTGAAGTTGGGAGTAAGACAAGATGGTTGCCTACTGTCGCCAATGATTTTACTGATTGCGGTAGATTGGATAATGCAACAGACAGCAGGCAATGAAGAGACAGGTATAAAATTGACCATAACGAAAAACTTGAAGGACCAGGACTTCACCGATGATATATGTCTGACTTCTCACAAACCGGAAGATATGCAAGTGAAAAGCAACAAGTTGGCAGAGGAAGCGTCAAAGATTGGACTACAGGTGGACATAGAGAAAACAGAGGTGATGAAGATTCCTAGCCAACAGCAACAACAACATCAACAGATAACAATCAGCATAAATGGGAGGAACCTAAAAGAAACAACCTCCTTTACCTACGCACCTGGGAAGTATCGCCAATTCAACTACAGGCGGAACTGAGGAGGATATCAAAGCAAGACAAGCTTTCATTACTCTCAAGTCTGTGTGGAGGTCAACAGCACTCAGCATGAAAATGATGATACGATCTGGATTTTCAACTCCAATGTGAATTCAGTGCTACTTTATTTATCAGAGACTTGGCGCATCATAAAGAGCACCTGAAACAAACTACAGACATTCATTAACAGTTGTCTTCGCTCAGTACTCAAGATCAGATGGCCGGCTAGGAAAGATCAGCAACAAGATCTCTGGCAATGAGCAGGAACCGATTGTGCAACAAATAGACAGGAAGAAATGGAGATGGATCGGCCATACTCTGAGGAAACCATCAAGTGACATCACCAGGCAAGCCATTGCTCGAGTGGAACCCGAAAGGGAAGCGGCGAGTTGGTCGTTAGCGCTAGGGTGACTTGGAAGAAGTGATGTTAAGAGGAGATGAAAGCATGTGGGCAGACTTGGAGCCAGGTGAAAACTCTAGCAGAGAACCGAACGCAGTGGAGATGCGCGGCCCTATGTTCCTCTAGGAATTAAAGGAAATAACAATAATAATAACAAACTCAGGCAATTCATTTCAATGATTAATATTTTCTCTTTTATCCTTATCATAAATGTGCTGAATACCTGTAATCAGGTGAAAATTGAGAACTAATTTAGGTTAATTTGTTTATATATATATGGTAGTATCATGTAAAGATATCATTTACGTAATTTATGTAACCAGAGAGTGTAACTAGTCCCCCACCCCTCGGCGTCCTGGTTTTTCTTTTTTAAAAGAAGCACAAGCACTTCATTATTGAGAGCTTCCCACTGGAGATCATTCAAGGGGATTAAAGCTAATGGAAATATTTGGATTTCAGTTGTGGATTTAAAAATGGTTGTTGACTTTTAATCTATTTCTTTCAACACCAATCAAGACACCAACGTAACTACTATTCGTAGTCACCCCCCCCCTACTTTGGTCAAATTGATCGTATTAGGTGGGATGTTACAGTAAATACTAACGAGTGTACAAGTTAATCTGCATGGTCAAAGTCACAGATTTCACGATTACAAGAAAAGATTTTTTATCATGTATCAACAGGGAGCACTGGACAGCTGTTTCATCTTCGTTTGGAATTCTCCATCATTTAGCATCCGCGACCCCGTCACCCAGTTAGCGTTCGAGCTGATTCTTGTGGCTTATGATTAAATGTAGCTTGAAATAACTTCGAATTCCCTCAAACTCAACACGTTCAAAGCTTATGATCAATATTTTCAAACCTGAAAACTTTAACTCTTCTTATACCAAGAGTGTCGACTGAGACCCAGGTGCCCTTGTGTATTACTGCTGTTCCTCTTCCTTTTTCAGGAGTTGGTTAGTTTTTGCGGATATATTTTGTTTCAGGCTTGACCACGAGTTAATATCAGTTAAAAAGAACCCCTAAAAGCCAGGGAGCACGAGATAGCTGTTTCGTCCTAGTTTGGGACTCATCATCCTCACGTTTCGAACCCAGGACATTCCGTTTACAAGACAGGCTTGTAAACTATTCAAAAAAAAAAAGCCAACTCAATGGCACACGAATGAATTCTAACTTCTATCAATTTGTGATCTTAGCGCAACCACTAACCAACCAAAATCATTGGTGGCGAGTATTTATCCCACCAGAACTCCAGGTGACTTCATGCTGTAGCCCTAGTCACTAGTGAGCATCAGGAGTGGGTACCGGTACCCGCCGATGACACTTATTGGTAGTCGTGCTAAAATCAAAACTCAAAAAAAAAAAAAAAAAAAAAAAAAAAAAAAAAAAAAAAAAAAAAAAAAAAAAAAAAAAAAAAAAAAAAAAAAAAAAAAAAAAAAAAAAAAGTTTTTCTTAAGCATACTAAATTAGCATTTTAAATCAAGAGTAGACTATTTAGTTTTGTATAACGAATGACTGTCAATCAAGGGTAGTTCATATTTATGACTAAACTAAGTATCTGTATTATACAGATGTTGCACCGTAAAATACAGAAATCTGATTCAAGTGTTGGTGTGTAGGGATTTGATTGGTTACGGGATTTCATCATGAGTTGACATTGGTTAGAGAACCGTTGGAAAACCTAGGAGTACTGGACTGATAGTTGTTTCGTCCTAGTTTGGGTCTCTTCATCAGTACGCGACCACCGGGGTTCGAACCTAGAACCTTCTGGTTTTGAGGCGAGCCCATATACCATTAAGCCACTGGGACCCGATCCAATGGTCCACGAATTCTAACTTCTGCCAATTCACGACATAGCGCGATCCCTAGCCAATGTCTTTGGCGAGTATTTGTCCTCACACCCGACCTGCTGCACCCTACTGGTCACGACTTCTCACTAGAACCCCAGGTAACCACCTACCTGAATAGAGCAAGTCGCTAGTGAACATCTCATCGATATTCAAATGTTGGTTTGTAGAGATTTGATTGATTGGTTACAGGATTTCATCATGAGCTGAAGTGAAATGATAATCAGAATACTGACGAACAAAAAGAACTCTGAGTCTTCTTTTTTGTACTCACATTTTGAGTGATCACAATGTTCGCAGCAAAGCTATCAAAGTTGTGGTTTACACGTGGTTTCTTTTCGCAGTAGTTCATTTAACTTATTATTAATTTAAACACAAACTTGATGTAATAAATAATATGGCCATCAAAAGATGCGCTACACAATCATAAAACAACAATTTATAAAGAAAGTAGGAAGAGAGAATGAGTGTGATGGTGGACGTTATTCAGTAAACAAGCAAGCATACTTGTCAACAGCATTCATTATACTTTCAGAAAAGGAAGAAAAAAGAGGAAGTTCTTAACATGTTCGCCATTGTTTACGATTCCTGATCATCATATCTGATGGCGTTTCGAGTCGCCGTTTTGGCCTATCTCTTGAACTCTAACCGAGGAGTTGTCTCATGTACCAACATATGCTAAGCTAACAAAAATATCCTTCATCCTAAAATGCCAAGTCGTAGGCAGACCACATCTCCGGTTTTTCTATCCAGTTTCATAGGTAGCTGGTAGAGACGGGTACAGAAGCCTTTGGAATAACATCAGTAGTAGCACATGTCCAAGCCGCCGAGGCCGCTGTTTCCATATGATGACACTCATCGATTGGGGGAAGTGTAATGTGTCAAAATACACGCTGTTAGAACTCAGCATAAATTTTACTTATAAAATAAATGAAATTTTTTGTAATTCTAGAGACTGTGCTTCTTTCTCCTCCAGTAAGAGTTTTCAACAAATTTTTTTCTAAAAAACATACTTTTTTCACTTCTTTAAAGGCTATTGCTGAGGCTACAGATGAAGATTTGATTGAATTTGTTGCACCAAAATTGTGTAAACTGATTAGTCCATGGGATCATTTGCTTTTACGTTCTGAACACGGTAATCCACCTCTGCCTCAAGTTCCTCGTGTTGTTTTGGATTTTTTGAGTTTAGTGGAGCGTGCTCGATCATTTCTTGGTGATCAGTTAGAGGCACAACCAAAACGTCTTAAAAATGCGAAAAAGACATCTGAAGGGAATTCAGAAAATCAAAAAGGTAAAAAAGTTTAAATTCTTTGAATTCCGTTTTGTTCCTACCACTTTGGCTTAGTTTCTTTTGTGCTCATGTGACCTTTCGTTTTCACCAAATGCAGAAATGGGAAGGTTAATTGATTTAATTTATATACGATTTGAAAAAGTGAAACTCTTGCTTTTCAAAGGTCAGTTCGTCACTCACTCTAGTCGACAGATATCTGAGCTCATGCGAGAAATAGGCTAAATTCATTTATATTGTGTAACCCTCAGCGTTCTCGCTATTCACATCTCACCCCACCCCACCCCCAAATTGCATCTTATCAAGTAGGACTAGCAGTCATTATAAAAAAGATTATATGCTCACTCGCACAACTAGCCAGCCGGCCTTCTTTGTAACAGGGACAGTGTGAAGCGTATCATGAATACTGTCTTGGAATAAAGCACATCATTATGATTTGTTATTTTTAAAGTACCAAATTGTTTGTTAGTTTCTTTAGCGAATAATTTGTCTTATATATGTGCCACAGTAATACTAAAGCATCTATAATTTATCTTATTTTTTACATTGATTATGTTTTTTTAATCAGTCCATCTCGAAATTCCTTTAGTGTGTATGCCTGAGTAGTATTAGAGTCAGTCTTGTTTTAGACTCACTTTTAAAGTTAAGATTACTTGCATGAAATGTTAGTTACGGAAATCTTTATAAATACAAATGTGTGGCATATTTTCAGATGAAACTAGTAACAGCAGCATCCCGTCTTCTCTATGTGTTCACACGATTGTTCTTCTTAACTCGCAGTAATATATGGAGTTATTCAATATTTCATTCATTCATTCTAATTTTTGTATGTTGTATCGTTTGTTGGGATAGTATTGCTTTAAAATTTTATTGGGGTTAATAGTTGTGCTAACTGACTTCAGTGACTCAGGGATTGACTTGTTACCACTAGTGAGGGAATAATCTCGTTGACTTGGAATATGCAGATGATATAGTCCTTTGAGGTGAAGGCGGTGATAAAATGCAAAGTCCTCTGAATACCTTCAGCTGTCATATGCGAATGTTTGGCATGCGATTCGCTCCCGCCAAATGTTAGATGATGGGACTACAGAACTGGCCTACATCGAATGCACTCCTAGCTTAAATATAGGGAGTGAAATGGTGGTTAGGCGTGTTGAACACTTTACTTTTTTGGAAAGACTGATCGCTGGTGAATTCACAGCACGAATTTAGAAGGCCCGTTTGGCATATTCCAAATTACGCAATCTCTGGCTTAGTAGACATGATATCCGATTGTCGACCAAAGGGCGTGTGTACTTCTCAGCAGTCCACTGCCGTCCTCCTTTTTGCCTGTTAGACATGGCCATTGAAAGTGGAGAACATGGAAAGGCCAAGTGTCTTTGATCGTAGGTGTCTGCATTTTATCTCCCGTGTGAATTGGTATAAAAAGGAGAGCAATATTGAGGTTAGGCCTCAGTCGAGTGGTAAGTAACGAGGAGAAATCAGTCGATGAGGTTGTGAAGTTCCATTGATTGAATGAGATGGTTAGGGGATGTGTTACGCATATCTAGTCGTCTCCTGCTTCGATATTGGATCAGGTTGGAAAAGAGCTAGTGGATGGTCAGAGCAAAACTTGGCTTCATCAGTCAATGAAATCCACAACAGTTAGTTGAAATCAGTCACACAGGGAGGTGAGTAGTCTTCCTGGTTGCTACCTTTGGCATGCTAAAAACTAATTAAGGCTGGAGACGATCGGTGATACGGCTCAAAATCGTTGTCAGTAATAGCGCAGATGCATTCACTCATTGGGATTTTTTATATCGACTTGAACTCTATCGTTGTCGCATATTGCTATTCTTTTTCCCTGGCACTTGTGTTCATCATCTCCCTTTACTCTTTTCTCTTGTTTTGTGTGGTACACTGTATGAGGAAATAGCAAGCTGAATTCTTGAAACCAGTCAGTGATATATGTGCCTATTAAAATAAATAATCTGGTATACATAAAAACTAGACTTATGAAATTACTTTACAAATATTTTTTCTAATCTACGTGAAGGTGAAACAAATGAAGCGGGTGAATCCGATGCAGATGGTGGTGAGGAATCACAAAATAAGTCAAAATCTCAAGAAAATGGTGTTGGTGAGGAAGGAGGACAAGATGGCGAGGAAGAGGAGGAGGAGGAAGAGGACGAAGACGACGAAAATGATGATGCCATCATAGTTAAGGTTAGTTAGTGTGTTCCATTTTGTACTGTTGTCATCATAACTTTTTTTTCATGGTATCCTCTTATTCTGTATTCGATGTTTGTTCTCTCAAATTCAATATGATCACCGTTGGGCGTTTTTTTCTCGATGGTTCACTGTCTTTCTGGATATGTGTCAGCAGTGTTTCCCCCCCCCCTTTGGTCCCTAACCTGCAAACCACTCATTTTCATTGATGCTTTATTTGTAGTCTTTTGATTTGTATCCGCTTTACACGATCTCCTCCATTTTATTCTCGGAAGACTGTGATGATTTACGCTACTTGTCTTTGATCATAGGTGCCTGTGCTCTATCTCCCGTGTGAAGTGATATAATAAGGTGAGCAATATTGAGGTTAGGCGTCGATTGCTAAACTAGGTAAGGAGAGGAAATCAATCTACATCGACTCAGATGGTGAGGACATGTGTTACGTATGCCTGGTCATCGCCTTCCTCGACGAACAATGTTAGCTGACATAAAAAAAGGCTGGAAAACAGCCAGCGGCGGTCAAACCAAAACCTGATACCAATCAATGAAATCCACAACAGTTAGTTTAAGCCAGCCAGAAAAAAAAAAAAAAAAAAAAAAAAAAAAAAAAAAAAAAAAAAAAAAAAAAAAAAAAAAAAAAAAAAAAAAAAAAAAAAAAAAAAAAAAAAAAAAAAAAAAAAAAAAAAAAAAAAAAAAAAAAAAAAAAAAAAAAAAAAAAAAAAAAAAAAAAAAAAAAAAAAAAAAAAAAAAAAAAAAAAATCACGTAGGAAGGTGTAGACTGGCTGATTGGTTGGGGTCTTCGGGATGGTTTAATCCAATGGTTGGAAACAGTTGGTGATATGGCTCAAAGTGATCATTCTCGGTTATGGGTGGCGCAGATGCATCCACTCTATGTGACTTATGATTTCCAATGAAACTGTTTTGTTCTTCGATATTACTATTCCTTTGTCTCACACCTCTGTTTACTGTCTGTATTATGGATTTCTTTTCTTGCTTTGTGTGCTATGAGGAGTGGAGTTTGGGGACTTGAACTGCTGCACATCGGTGCAAATTTCTATGTCGAAAACAGACAGACAGACAGACCTGTATTATCACCTTGCAAAGCAACGTGTATTGTTTAGTTGAAGTCGGAAGCATTTTGTGAAATGGGCAAGATGATATGCTTCGTGCATGTCAATAAATCCTGCAGTTGCTTCCTTATTGTTGGTTAGATCTTGTATTTTTGAATTTAAGCTTGTGAACTGAAATGTATTACATAAGTTGAATCAGTGGTTTTTGAGGCAAACGGTTATACAATTGGTTAGAAAACAGAGGTGTATTTATCCTTACCTTCATTTTCTGTATTTCTATTATCGTCTCATTCACATATTCTCTATCTTCAAGCTATCTAGTGTTTTATAAAGTGAAAACATATGTGTGGAATGTGGCTCATTGGCTTTAACACACGTTTTTCAGTCGATAGGTCACAGTTTCGAGTCCCACTCCACCCCTAGCTCAGCGTGAGTGACTTAGTGGTAGAATAAACGGTCCTCACACTCTTAGTGTGACTCTTAACCTCTCCATAACATAAGAAGAAAATCTGTTCCATGTAGTTGAGTTGAAATGTATGTGTAGTGTTATACCTTTCAAATTCTTTTGCAACTGCATTAATCGATTCGGGTTAGCTTCCATTGGTCTTACTTGCTGTGTGATGATGACCTACGATATTACTCAATTACCCAGCCGTCCCAAGGTGACATGGAAGAGGAGATGAGATAACTGTGGGTACTCGTGGGGCTAGCTAAAGAAAACCGCAGAGGATAGGACAAAGTGGAGATGTGTCGTTGAAACACTATGTTCCATTCGCAACCCAAAGGATTTGACTGGTTACAGGATTTCATCATGAGCTGGACACCGATTGGAGGACATTGGGGAATATGTTAGTGTTGGATAGGTGTTTCGTCCTAGTGATTGAAACTCCTCAGAAGTGCGCGCCCACCGACCGGGGTTCGAACCCCAGGATCTTCCGTTTACAAGGCGAACTCGTAGACGATTAGGCCACTAGAACCCAACTCAATGGCCAACCCATGAATTTCAACTTTCGCTAATTCATGACATAGCGCTACCACTAGCCAGTGTCATCGCTGTTGGGTATTTGTCCTCACACTAATCATAATAGCCTAGGCTAAAGGATAACTGTGGTGTGAGCTATGAGCCTATTAGTTGGAAATCATCTAGTGTTTAGCCAATCCAATACAATTTCAGAAAGATAATCTGGCGTGGAACGTGATAAATATGATCACTAATCAGTTACGTCTAGTCTTATGCATATATTGCCTGTTTGTTACTTAACACCATCACACAACTCAGATTTTCCTATAGAATATTGATCTTGATTCGAGTAAATTTTTCCAAGTCTTGGTTTTGTAGGGATTTATTTTGAATTGAATGAGGAATTTCACCATGAGCTGACATCATTTAAAGAACCATTGCTGAACAGTCCCAAACTAGTGCAGAGCAGCTATCCAGTACTCCCAGGTTTTCCAGCGGTTTTCTAACTGATGTCAGCTCATAACTTTTTTCAGTTGACATCTGTAGCTACTCATTAGTAGTCTGTTTTGTTTTCATGCTGCAGTTTCATTGCAAGTAATACTCTGCTTACAATTTTTGTTTTTTGTGTTTTGTCATGATATTTAGGTAGATACAGATGAACAGTCAGCAGCTTTAGGTTTACCGCGTGGCAAATACATTGTTAAAGAACCTTTATGTGAAGAATACCTACCTAGACGTTTTCGATCAGTGTTGGCGGCACAACGAGCTAAAGCAGCTGCTGGAGATGCTTCCGACTCTGATAACGCGAGTGTAGGCCGTGCGAAACGTGCTGTGATCGCTGTAGAAACAGCTGAAGACGATGAAGTGGATGCGACGCTACGCAGTGAAATTGCTTCAACTGAAGGCTCAGGCCAACAACACTTTAGAGAGACTGGCGGCAATACAACAAATCAAGCTACAGATAATCAATCACAAAATATTATTTCATTGGGTGAAGAATTGGTGAGTAGTTGTAAGATTGTCATGATGTTAGGAATCTACGTGTTATAGAGAGTTACGTTGAATAATCCATACACACCAAAACATCAAATTTGTGTCATTTTTTTTAGTTGCCTCAAATTATTTACTAATTGTACAGTTCTTATTCGTAAAAAATTATATTTGTAAAATCTAAGCGATATTGAAATGAGTAATTCCAACGTTTCGTTCGGCAATCTGGTCCGAACTTCTTCAGAGAAATTAATCGAAATTAACACAACAGAGGTTTATATATAAAAGGAACATCTTTTATTTTTAAAAACTTTGTCCAATCATGAGTCATAAAACAAGTATAGTAAACAAAATTGTATGAGCTGTGATCAAAATTTGACCTCGGACTTACAAATATTGGTCTACCTTTGTTAAATACTTTAAACAGAGTGTGCATTCGTGTGTGGGTAAACAGTTGTAAAACATTTCTTAACGTCTCCATAAGGAGATATAGACAGTCGGGAACTTTGACCAAGTATTATTAATTAGTGATACATATCTATTCTTATTTATTAATCAGGATTTCCTATGCATCAGCTAAAATCACACCTTCATGTCTGTTCAAACTGTTAGTATATAGAATTTTATGATTAAGACGTTCTTTCAAAATTATGGTGTTTAGGATTAGAGTTTAGTTGAAGCACCCTGTCGAACTTATTGCTTTGTCTTCTTTTTGAAGATTGAGCTGCTGTATTCGACCTACTGGGGTTGTCAGTTGACCGGATAGCTACGGATTTAGGATACGCATTCTGTTGCTGAGATTTTACAAATATAATTGTGTTTTTACAAATGCCTACTTCTTACTCGGTGCCAAAATATTTTAGAACTATTCTGTCAAATTTTGACGACAGTTCATTTGAATGTACAGTTCTTAGTTTTAACAACCGTGGTGTTTATATTCCAAACAGAAACACTACTAATACTACTAGTAGCCATATGACTTCTTAGTATCCCACTGCTCTTCAGTCAATGTTTTTGCACATATCGTTATTGTCTTATTATTATTATTACTAATTATTAATAATTATGGCCATTAATAGCCATGCGGTATATTGCTTTCATAAGAGAGTGAGAGTTTTCGTGGAACTACTAGTAGAAGTGCAAATAAACCTGAAACACTTCAACACAATCTCTTCACGAATAATTTCAAAGTAAAACTCGTCAGGACCAATATCAGTTAATCAGTTCATTGAATGCCAGGAAGCACTGTGCAGCTGTTTCGTCGTAGTTAGGGACTCTTTACGGTGCACAACCACAAACTCCACCAAGGACATCTAGGTTAGTGAAGAGACCAAGCTCACTGACCATTCAGTCTCCTAGGCTGGAATTCAATGACGCGTGACTTCTAGGTGTGTCAGTCATCCCGGGTTCTATCGTGGCACGGTGGTGGGTGTGCACTGCTGAAGAGTTTCGAGCCAAGACAAAACAGTTGCTCAGTACTCCGTAGTTTTCAGTCGACTGTTACCAATGTTCGTTCGTGACAAAATATATACACATATATATATATATTATTTTTGGTAATTTAATTGCGAAGGTCTCATTATCTTACTTAGACAACAACCGCAGCGCATATCTCAATTTGAAAGAAACTTTTAGACTTCTGCACGAGTTTATTAGTCATCTCTCCGAGTAATCTTAAAAGTGATTGGTTCTTTATGCATATTTTCTCACTTTGTAGTCCACTTGTATTTATATTTTATTGTTTCTTTGACCTGGAAGTTGACCTTTTGTTCCTGTGATTTCTTTATCATGGATTAGTAAATCTTGTCTATGTCAGTGTTTCTGTTGATTGATGATTCAATTGAATACCATGCTTCTAGAAGTTCCCTGAAGTATTTAGTGTTTCCTCTGTCTAAGATTTAAGCATTATCCCAATTGAATTAATGTCCGTGCTTGTCTGTATACCGTGATATGAGGGGGAGTGTATGTCGTTTTTTTGGACAGCCACTTCTCTTTCATGGATACGAAGATGAAGAGTGTCCACTTTGACCAATGTAATGCTTTTCAAAGTCGTTCCAGTGTACCTTGTAGATGATGTTGGTTTTATTTCCTGTCTGTCTCGAGTTGTTCGGTTGTCATAGAGCCGAGTGTGAAGTGATTTTGTTGGTTTGTGGACGACATCAATTCCAAAAGGTGTTTGGATAGTCTTTCAGGAATTTTGACGGATGTTCTTTAGAAACTTTTCTTTTTGCTTTCATTGAGGGCCTTTGATCCCTCTTTTTTTACTTACTAAATGTCACACCTAATGATTTCAAATTGAATTGGTTATAATATGAAATGGTCATTTGATAGACCTTTTAAAAGCTTTTTCTATATGCTAAAGGTTTTCTAATGCGTTTACAACTATACACGTGCCTAATCCTATTCTAGCTCATTGATTCATCTCATCCATATGTTGATAAAATCGAAATTTTCAGCACTACATCATTTATACCGTGATGGTTAACCGAGTTAGTCATGATGGGCATATGTGAGTGGATCTCTCGTTTCTGGTGTGTTTACTTTACACTTACATAATTCATATTTTTTTACTATCCGTCATTCCAATGGATTACTGCTTACATTTTATTTCCAGCTTCTTCTTCCTGAAGGAGGTTTAGGCGGTCCTGTTCCAGATGAATGGCTTACCAGTGGTGCTTTTCTTACAGTATTAACTGAAAATGGTCAAACTAGTGATTTAGTTATGGAAGCTGCCACGGGTCGTCTATTCCACCGTCCAACTGGTCATCTAGTCAGTCTAGCTGATTCTCAGCAAACAAATCAATCCGGTGAAGTTGGTGAATTCCAAGATGAGAGTTATGCTGCATATTCACAAAATGGTGATGAACAAACAGTTTCAACATCGAAACAATCTATTCCTGAGAAACGTAAAGGTGCCGGTGGTGGTGGTGGTGCTAGCACATCGACAAAGTCGAAACCTACATCCAAGCCAAAAACTAAAGCAGAGCCTGATGCAGGCAATAATAATGATGTTTTATCACAACAAGAACAAATACTTGCACAACTTGCTGAGAATGGAGATGTTGTCGATTTGAATACACTTTTCCCTGGAGTATCTGTTACTGAAGTGTCACCTGGTGTTTGTCTGGTCACTAAACCAAATGGAGATCGTTTCAATGTAAGTCATTCAGATGACAAAAGTTTTTTTCGAGTTTTCTGATTACATGTTCAGTTTATCAGTTATTGTTACCGACATACTTTTATTGAACATGATTTTTTAGTTATGTTGGTGAAATGTTTAGGTGACAGAGCTCAAAAACTATGTAGCGCCCAGGGAAATCTACGACAGGAAGCAATACATATAAGAGAAGCTTTTAAACTTAATAATTACCCTGATAAATTAGTCAGAAATTATGTGAGAAAATGTAAAAATAAAATAAATAATGATAGTAGCGATATAGTAATAATAATAATATTAAGGACGACATGCATGTCAAACATGCGCAAGATAATGACAACACCAACAATAAGGTGGCACAGTGGTTAGGACTCTCACCGACCATGCACATGGTCCGGGGTTCGAGCCCACGCCGGCGCACAACTGATATCTATGATCGGCCTGCAAAATTTGGGCTACCGATATCCATGCTGAAAATTCCATACCTGTACCAAAAATACAGTGTGGAATCAAGCTGTAAATAAAAAATAAATAAAAAATAAAAATAAATCATCAGTAGTAATTCCATACAAGGAAGGAACCTCAGAAACCTTACGCAGAATTCTTAACAAGGCAGGAATAAAAGTGGCTGGCATTCAAACCAGCCACAAACTCAATTAGAAACAAGCTTTGTCGGTTTAAGGATCAGTGCTGTGGAGCCAATTAAACAAAACAATTTAGTTTATCTAATACCCTGTCTGCGATGATTGTCAGGTCAAATACGTAGGTCAAAGGGGCAGTCAGAATAGCCGAACATAAAAACCAAACAAAGTTTAGATTAGTTGACCCGAACAAGATACGAAATCTGGAGAATTATTATTAACCTTTATTGCTTGTTTTAAATTCGTATCGGGAAATAAATGTTTTCGAAAACATCCCCATTGGATGGTCATTCATATTTTTGTATATTTCTGTAGTATTCACCCCTATAGAGACCAACGGTCTTGCGCATTTCATACCTTATTCCAAGTCTAGTTCATTTTGATTGGAGACTAGTTAGTAACACCTAATGTTGTGAAGTGTCTAGTCCTTTGTTTGGTGCAGACTGATTCCTTATTGTCAGTCAAGTTTGCAATGTGTCCATCTCTCAAGATGGCTAGCCATCACAGTTCATTGTGAATTGTTGATATTAGGTGGTCGGAGGCAATCGGTTACAGGAAGCCTTGCTTGACCTAGGTTTTGTACTGGTTGACACTGGTTAACAAGGCGTGTCTACCTACAACCTCCTTGAAGAGGAACTCATGTTCCCTCTGAGGCTCGAGCCCGTGTTGCAGACTTTGCCACGGAGCACTCGCGCTTGTTCTTACGTAGAAGTAGCACGAAACTCAGGTCCTTGGCTTCCTGCCGAATTATCTCCAATCTGCTAATATCAACAAATCTAGTTCACACGAAAAACACCTCCACCTACTGGCTAGTCGGAGCCTGGTGGATGACTCGTTGGTTTGCAGTGGAATGCCTGAATAAATTATTGTACTACACCTCTTCCCTGTGCATTTTTATGTTTCTCTGGAAAGGGTACTTGTTTATTCAGCTAAACATACACAATGAACACTACACAAACTACTGACTGCGTTTTCTTTTAAAAATCGTGTATCACCTTTTTATAATTAATAAGTGTTACACTCCTGCTATATTAAAAAAATACAAAGACTCATCTTAATTTTTTATATTTTAGGTTGAACATGGTGGTGAAGGCATAACGTTGGAAACACTTCAAGCTATTCTACAGATGGATGCCTAGTTCAGATACTACTCCTGCTACAACTTAATCTCTTGTAAATATCAGTATACTAAACATATACGTATATATATATCAACAATCATTGTTTTCCTGTCATTAGAACAAAAGTTCAGTAATCCACATTTCATTCTCTCCTATATTGCCTAGCCCCCCTTAACCCCCTTCCCGCATCTCTCCGCGCCCCATGGTTACTTACTAATGTGTTTGTTACAAATGTATAACTTATACATACTCTCCAAAAATTACACAAATATTACATCTCCTCCCTTCAACTCAATCCCCTTCACCTCCTTAGGGGAGAAAGTATCCCCGCTCTCCTTCCCCCTCCCCACACGGTATTCCCATGTACAAAAGATTACCCAATGTTACCTGTTCTCTTTTTCATGCCTCATTCAATGTTTAATGACTAGTTTTTTTTCAATACAAAAAGTGGCAACACCACTAATCTAATATAATCTCACTTCATCTTTACACTATACTAGATAGAGGTATAATTTGCGGTTTATGATAATTTTTTTGTATTTTCTTTCTTTTGCTCGATTCATTTTTATCCATGTCCATATATAATATACACACATATTCGTACTTGTATTCTTTGTATTATTTATTCTTAATAAATTAATGGTAGTTTATATGAGAATATATCGATAACTTCAGGTTCGTGTATCTTAAACTATCTAAAACGTTGGTTAGAGAATGATTGGGAAACCAGCTGGTGGGATTAGTGGACAACAGCTGCTTCATCCGCCTAGGTTGGGGCTCTTCACAGTACACACCCACTGCCATGAGTTTGAACCCAGGACCTTCAGGTAGACTATTAAGCTACTGCGACGTGATCCTATACGCACACACACATACACATTGGTGAATGGTTCATCCAGTTCACATACACACTTCGACAACTACCAATGGACACGTCGAATATAATTACTATCGTAAAATTATTATTCCATTGGTTTCCGTGTGCAACATAGGGCTGGCTTCAACAACACATGTCCCTACAGTGTTCTATTTTCTGCTGTCTTCTTCAGCTGGGTCCACGGCTGACTATAATCTCTGATCTCCCTCTTCGCACGATCTCCATGCCATGCTGGGACGACTCGCTTGTCGCTTCCTGTTGAGACTCCACTGGAGTGATGACCTGCATTGCACACGATGTCATTCGATGGCCTTCTTATTGGCGTATGCCCGATCCATCTTCATTTTCCCCTACATAATTGTTGAGCGATCGGCTCTTGGTTGGTTTGTTCCCAGTTTTATATATTTGTCGCCAAATTTTTATTGTTATGTACTGGTCGAGAATTTAATAGTCCTGACGCAAGAAAAACGGAAATCAGAAGACCACTAGGTTTGCGAGGATACTTCTATTTTCCAAAACACAAGGAGAATCAATATGTCACACAAGAGTGTGAGAGCAAAAATATATGAATGTCCGAACAAGTGTGTGAGCGAATATTCAAAATGAACAAATCAATAGACAGTCTTAACATGATTGGCTAATTATAATGGAATATCGATCCATATATACATAGCAAATATACAGACTGTCAAATAAACACACATATTATGTGGATATATATCACCCAGCCAGAGTTTCTTGTTACTAATTCTTTATGGGCGGCATTTGATCTTCAGTATGGAGCCAGCGAAGGTGGTAGCTGTTGACAAAAGTCTGATTTAACCTGGTGGAAATCCTTTTCGTGATACACGCATCATGGAAGAGCTGACTGCTTACAAATTTTTGTTGAAAATCCGAATCTCGTTCTCTATGCTGGCTGGCTGAGCGAATGCAGTAGGTTTCCAAACTAATTTCAGGTTGATGAAAGCGTATTTTGCCTTTTCGATTTTGACTTTGACATCTTTATCCGTTCCAACTGCCTGTAGTCGAAACACCGCTTCCTGGCCAAATATGTGAAAGAGATAACTTCATTAAAATCTCTCCCGTTGATGGTGATTGGTGGTGGTTTGTCAACTTCATCACCTCCTTCTTCTTCTAGGGTTTTCTTATCGGTTGCTGTCTTCTCAGTCCCACGTACAATCTTAAGCATAAGTAATCCAGTCTACCACAATTAAGAATTTCATAAATGATAACAGGCGGGTAGCTTTGTCTTACTCCTTATTCTACTGCATTTTCTTTCCCTTCACGTTCCCCAGTGGAACATAGGGCTTCAAGCTAGTGACTTCAAGATTCTGTAGCAGTGCTGATTATTATTTTTTTTTACAGGATGGGGTTGCTAGCCTCATGCCCAACTTTTCCTGTTTACCAGCATTATTTCTGGCTTAACAAGGCAAAGGAGTGTGTCGTTGGCCGGGGATCGAACCCTGGACCATGTGCATGGTCGGCGAGCGTCCTAACCACTGTGCCACCGACGCACATTCGACTGCATTAGTTAGACATATTTGCGGAGTGGTAATAACGTATCATGCCCGAACAATAATTTTAATGATTTATTTGGGGATTTCTTTGGCAATCTTTAAGTGATTTTAGTTTAACTCAACAAAGACCTCTTCAGCCGACAATTTCTAACCTATAACTGTGACATTTTAGTCCTGTTAGGTTGTAATTTAATGTTTACAAAAATTCTAGGCATTGTAAAATCAGTCAATCTATTTGATACCAGGGAATAATCGATATCGTATATCCAGCCACCTGTGTTCATACCTGTTGAATTCCATCAATCAAGTTTGCAGTAAATTCACTAAACTAAGCAACATGTTGATTGAATTTAGTCAGGACTAATCCTAAAGACAAGAAACTGGATATTATTCACTATTTAAGCGTCTGTGATGTCGTGTCACATGCTAAACCAAACGTCAATCCAAATAAAGAATATCCCCTACAATAAATTCTGTTCTCTGTTGTCATCGTAAGAACAGCTAGTTATGCGACGGATGCATATTTCTTTTTATTCAGAATAACTGATTAGTTATATGTTGAAAAATGTGACGAGTTGAATGCATATGAAAAAATAGTGTCAAATCGGCGACCATTATTAATCATAATAGATTCATAAAGTTTGCGTGGGAGGGAGTAATTGATAGGTTCGCTAAGGATTTTTTAAAATGTGATTGGTGGGTGGTTAGTACAAAAGCAGGATAGTAACGAAAGCAAACAAGGGCCAGACAGATCGTTTATTCAGAAAATCAACAGAGATTTATAGATTTTCATATACACTATTGTCAACGGAGAATCAACGTCTTCTGATTGGTTGTTTTCTTGCTGATGGTTATTCTGTACTGCCTGTGACTGTTTCTCAGAAAGTTAAGCCATATCTCTGCGAATCGTATTTACACACACTAAGTCTGCTGTGATTGGTTGATGAGTTCCTCAAGGTTAAGCTTTGTTATTGTCTTTTCTCATGACCCCGATTCGGGACGTAAATAGCTGTCTACAA